TCAGCTCTTATGTATTCGGTTGCAGCACGTGCCAGTCCCTGGATTCCTGTCACTTCGTTCCTGACTGCTTCTATGACCAACTCCACAAGTATTCAAAGTGCCAAATGTGGCAGAAGAGAGGGATGACAAACTGCTGCAAAAGCACCCGCCAAATGTTTGTATTCCATCGATAATTTCAAACAGTTGCGGCACCATCTTGCCGAAGTTCGTTGAGTTCAAGAGGTTTTCCGCCATGCTGCTGTTCAGCAAAACTTGCGATATTCTCTTACAAGAAACTTGGCTACATCCTTGGTTTGGAAGACTTGGTTTTTTACCCCCTTGATTACCTGAGGAAGTTGTCTCGAGGTGGCGGTAGAATAACATAGATCAAGTTGCCGTGCTATTCAATGTGATCAGTGAATTCTAAGTCCTGCTAACGCGATTCACGGTATCTCGTGGGGGAATGCTAGCCAAGATACCAACCGGTGTATTCTAGCATTCTGGTTGGTAAGCTCATGCGTAATCCTCGACTGCACACTGTAATTGATTCCTTTAGAGAGAAAGCTTGTGACAGCGTTGTCGCCGGCCGGCTTGAATTGGCAACGCCTTGTGTTCATGGGTGACGTTAACCTCCATGACCTTACACCGCTGACGGATCTTGGTCTCACTGACCTGGTTTGTTTCACACCTGACTGAATTGCGCAACGGTAAACAATCCCAGATGTTTCAGCATTAGGGATTTGCGTCCAAGAGTACTCCTGAGGATTGTGACTCTCGCCTCATACCGCGTCTATGCAGCGAACAGGTACAGCGCACTTTTATTTATACACTGGTCATGTTGTCATTCAGAAGTGATCAGATGTGAAAAGACAGGCTGACTGCAGTGTAGAATGGAAACAACAGTGGAACAGATTGAAACCTGTTGTTCGCCGAAAAACAGAAAATATACAGAAAATATATGCTGTAAATTTTGGCTGTCGATGGAACAGCGTTAAACAGCTGATTGGACATAACAACAAGGAGTACAGGGCCGAAACACTGACTAGGTGACTGACCGATTGACCGACTGACTTTCAACCAAATCCTGGAAGGCTGAGCGAGCGTTTAGAAGTTCGAAGTTTGAGGTCAACTACTTAAGCCAGATCAGCCAAAGACCTCTGTGGTTTTCGATACAGACAAACACAGCTACGCACAAAACTTCCATAGAAGCCCTGTTGAATGACAGCTGCTGGTCTACAGGCAGAAGTGTTGCTCTCTTTTCAAGTGGATATATACGCGCCAAAAGCATTGTTGAAAAGATTTGATTGGTCAAATAACCGGGAACTTTCATCTTTCTGGATGAGGTTCTCAAATCACCACCCGTTATTTAATGTCATTGCTACGTCACCACCCTGTCATAGAAATTTATGTATTTTTTGTCAATTAGCCACCTACATGCATAGTGCGGTTCATGTGATGAAATTGCGGATTGCGGAAAACAACTGGTTACAAACTGTTTCTTAGCGTTTGAGACAAGGTTGTCGTTGTTTGTCATTCTGGTTTATACGCAATGAATAAACGGCAGCTGTCATTCAGGTTAAGAACAATGATCGATTACGTGCTACTCTTGATCGAATGCTTCAGTCACCACTTGTTTTTGCTTTTTGTCTGAAGCCGGCCAACGGATGAGCAAAGAACCTGTGAGACCGGCCGTTGTTGACTACAGGAGTTCTTTCTGTGTTGGGGGGGGCTGATAGTTTCAGGTTGGCAAGTGGGAAAGCAGTTTTGCGGTCGTGTTCTTCGAGTCTCGTCCATTACGTTGAGGCTGATAAGGTTAAAGCTGAGTGAGGTGAAAGGACGCGGTCAGAGCGCTTCCCAACCGTCCACTACCACCAGTACCTGTTCTTCA